AAAAAGTTATTATCTTATTTAGTTGAGTACGTTAATTTAATATTGTTAGTACAATTTTTTTTGTTCTGATATAAAAAATAATATATATATATATATATATATAAGATGATGTGATACCTCTCTAAGGCCACCATTCATATTTATCTTTTTTCCTCCTTTATTTTTGATATTTTTCTTTATTTTCCCATATTTTCTTAATTAAAGTAGAACAATTGAATGTAATTAAGAAAGGATAATGCATGATTGGAATTTGGAGTGACTTCTCAATTCTTCATTAATAAATATATTAATTAATATAATAACTTATACACAATAAATTAGTGTGATTGTTAAAAAAATTCAATTTCATTTTTTTTATTCAAATTTTTGACATTTTTCTTATTTTTTTCTATTTGTATAATTTATTAGAAAATCTAAAACTATTTCTAGAGATTCATTTAAACAACAAAGGTTTATATCTATTTTCATGAAATAGTTCCCACATAACTATAGACATTAAGCACTATTTCCTCTCTTATTTATTTTGTTTTTATTCCTCCTTTATTTGCTTTATTAAAAGTCTTACATTCACAACTCATTTATTTCATATTCACTCTTAATAATATTATTAACTCATACTTTTCATATTCATAACTCCTAAATATTTAATTAAAATTTAAAACACCTTATGGTATTCCATCATTTTATCTTTATAAATATGATCATGATTCTATTATTTCATATTTGAAGTTGTAATGTATATATATATATTTCATGTGGTATTATATTTATGTTTTAATCTTGAAGAATAAAAAATGTCAATGAAGACCGCCTTGTGAAATGAATACCGATAAGGGTTCGAAGAATTATAAATTGATGAATCGATTTATTGAATTCATATTATTTTTTTATAATGGAAGTTGTAAAAATGATGCTTGTATTGTATTACTTCCTCCTTTATTTATTTATTTATTATATATTTTCTTGATATCTTTTTAGCTTGATTTTTACATTATTCATGTAAGTGTTGTTATTAAGAGCATGTATAAGGTAGTTAAATTTATGCTCAAGTTATTTGACATTTTTTTCGTAGAAAATTTCTCTGTGCCCTTTTTCTTATTATAAAATGACAAATATAACTTCTAATATTTTAAGTTTTTCTAATTTAATATATTTATAAATAATAACTACTCATAACTCATACCCTTTAATTTTAGTCTTGATAATTTCATAACTTACGAGTATAGTTTAAATTATTTTCCCTTTTTTGATATAATTATTTTTTAATTTGACATGATGGGGAATATAAATATCATAAATATCATACATAAACAATCATATTAACAATTATTCATAATTTTTGTGTTTTATATTATTATAATTAAATAATTTATTGAATTCATATTTATTTGATAATGAAAAATGTAAAAGTGATGCTTGTATTGTATTACTTTCTCCTTTATTTATTTATTTATTGTATGTTTTCTTGAAGGAAGACTTAGAAGAATATTTTTTGAAGCACCGTTAGGAATTACTTTTACTAGAGAATTTATTTTTATTTTGACTTGTAATATATAGTAACTTAAGTACACATATTGACAACATTACTCATTTAGTCCTCTATGATCCTACTTTTTATTGTAAAACATAATTAATATAACTATCTTATTTCAATCAAAAAAATTAATGAGAATAAGTTATATTTTATTTTCTTCTCAAAGAAAATTAAAGAATGAAATAAATTATTATATGACATCATTGCTTATTCTTATGCATATTTAACAATTTGTTGTTGTCGCTGTTCTTTTCTTGCTTGAAATGTATTTAGAAGTTTTCTTTTCATTTTTGAGATAAGGGTTTGAAAAATACCTCAACTTTTGGTCGAATTTGCTGTTGCGATACTAAACTTTCATGATGACCTATTACCTCCCTAGAATATTTAATACCGTATTTTAAACATATATATTTGCCCACGTGGACATAAAAAATAATGCAAAATTATAAATAGTAATGTGTCCACGTGAGCACATATATACCTTTAAAATACACTATTAAATAGTTCAGGGGGTAAAAAAATACAGTATGAAATAGTCTAGGGAGGTAATAGGTCCTTATAAAAGTTTAGTATAGCAACATCAAATCCGATCAAAGTTGGGATATTTTTCAAACTCTTATCCCTTCATTTTTTAGTACTTTGTGATATAATAATGTAAATTATTATTTTTTATGTCTTAGCTACATAATTATAAAAAATCTATGCCTCTATATTATTTAATTGTGGTCTTTGATGAGATTGTAACATGACACGTCTTTTATGCAATCAATTTATTTATTCTTTTTTCTTATTTTTGTGATTTTTACCCATTATATTTTTCAGTCATTTATTTATTTTTACAAATAAAATTAATGCACAATGATTAATGTACTTAATGTCATAATAATATTATATATTAAAGTTATGATAACTCATGTATCTTATCTTCTTTATAACTTCTATTCTTAAATGTTATTGATAACTCCTATTTGTTTCATTGTTATAATTTTTAAAACCTTTCTTTAATATATAAATATTTCTTTAATATATAAATAGTAAACAAATGTGATGAAAAAGACGTAATGTGGAAGTTTTAAAAAAAAAATTAATATCAAAATCGGTGTTATCATAAATGATCGAGTACTCAAAAGATAGATAAGATTTAAACAAAAAATGTATTGTTTTCAAACTTAATACATAGATTTGTTGTTTCAAAATATGACTTCTAAATTGTTTGTTCTACCATATGCATATAAAGTTTATTTAGCATATTGAAAAAACATATCATGTTTCATATGAAGGCAAAAATTTACATTGTCTTTTATGTCACTGGCTTGAATATAAATATTCCATACTATTTCATTATAATTAAAAATTAGCAATGCATAGAATTATTTTTTATAAATGATAAAATAAATTAATTTATTAATTTTCATTACAACCGTGCGAAGCACGAATAGTTTCACTAGTATATATATATATGAAAGAAAAAAATGAAAAATATTTTTTTTAAATACAATTTTTAAATTTTTTTGGAGGGGGGTAGGTGGTTGGGGTAAGCGTGGACTAAAGAAAATAAAAATTTAATTATTTTTTTCAAAAACATTTTTTTTTTGTGGAAAGCGGGGGCAGGACAGTCAAGAGTTGAGCGGGGTAAAAAAATAGAAAAAATCTAACTTTAAACTGTTTTTCAAAAATAAAATTTTAAGTTGTTAATTTTTTTTTGTTTGGGGGAGGGGCTAGTTTGGGTGTAGTAACAAAATAAATTATTATTTTTTTTAAAAAGAAAATTTTAAATTTTAAAGTTTTTTGAATGGGGAGGGTCGGAGTACGGAGTGAGGTAAGAAAAAAATTATTATTTGAGAAAAATAAGTTTATTTGAGAAATATTTAAGTAAACCAAATATAAGAAAATTAAGAAACATTTTCTAGAATGAGAGATAAAATGAATTAAGTAAAAAAGAAAGTAAAGATATTGAAAGAGTAAAGTAAATGAAATAAAATGAGTAAAGTAAATAAAAAAGAAAAGTCAGGTGATTTTCTTTTTTTTTTGGAGGGAAATTTAGATGGTTTTCGAGTCAAGAGCCAAAAGACTATTTCTATCATTTCACAGTGTTATGCCAGATCGTGCCAAAAAAATGTTGTGCCATTTAGTTTTACTCTTTATATATTCGTTGAAGTTGGTAGGGAAGCTGCCATCAAAATCATTAGGCCCCCACTTGTAATATTCTTTCTCCGTACAAAATTCTATTACGGTGCTTAACTATTGGGAACAGAAATGTAAGTAGTAAAATTTGATACTACCAAAACTAAATTTCTTTATTTTTGTCCTTTACAATTCTTGTGTTTAATGGATAGTGATCAGAAGCTATTAGCAAAATCAGAAGATTCTCCATTGAAACTCATCGTATTCAAGAAGTCTTGTATTTCATTGTTCGAAATCATCAATTGATCCCAGAATTGTTCTTCTGTATTAGTTCCCTGTTGTTGTTGCACTTGCAGGGGTGAAGAAGAAGTATTATTATTATTATTATTATTGTGTTGTTGAATTGATGTGTAATCTGCAAATGAGAAATTAAGTTTAGCTCTTGGACCTCTAAATTCAATAGCTGCTCTGTCATAAGCTCTAGCTACGTCCTCAGCTGTAGTAAATGTTCCAAGCCATACTCTGGCTGCTCTTCTTGGATCTCTAATTTCTGCAGCCCATTTTCCCCATGGTCTCTGTCTTACTCCTCTGTAATTCTTCTTCTTCTTCGCAACATTAATCTTTAATGTCTTGTTGTTGTTGCCAGTTGATGAGGTTGCAAAATAGTTGCAGCCTAAACAACCATTTATTTTGCAGAATTGACAAGCCTCTGTTTCTTCCGGTAAGTGAAACAAAGGCGGCTCAATTGTTCAAAACATATACCTATTAAACACAAAGTGCTTACGTGGCAAAATAAGTGTACCTCACTGCTGTTGAGAGCGTGAATAGGTTCCTATTTCATTTTTAAATTTAAAAAAAAAGATAATTTGTAACTTTTTTCACGCCTGCATTCATTAACTAAATAACTATAAAAAAATAAACTCTTAATCAAGAAAAAGAAACAACCCCACCCCACACCCCTTTACCTGTCATCTTCTTCACTCCATCTCAAAAATCTCTTGCACTTCATTTTAGTTCTATTTTTTTTTTCCAGTTTTTGTTAAAATGAAAAACTGAATCTGCTAAACTTAATTTGCTAGTTAAATTATTGGTTGTGTCATCCCCAATTAAACGTTTCAATGTCAATATTATTTAAAATAAATTCCGGCCAAATTGCTTTGCCATGATCCCGCCACACCCTTTACCATACACTCCTTGATTATTATTTTTACTAGCGGCATTCCACAATTACTAATATTATCAAAACTAAAATGAAATGCGTCAAAAATAATTCCGGCAAAATTTCATTTTTTCCGGCAAGACTAATACGAATCTGAAATTATTTTCTTTCAAATTGTTAAAAAATTCAAATCCTAAAGAACTCACAACATAGAAGAAGAAGAAGAAGAAAAATATGAGAATCTGAATTGATGATTGAAAAAAAAAGTGAGATTGAGAGAAATGACAACTACAATGTTGATGGATATCGAAATAAACGAGAGAGGCAGGTGTATGAGTGGAAAAAAGAATATGTTGAGACAAAAAAAGGTGGAACGAAGATGATTATCGAACATAATTTTATTATTATTTTTCTTTTTAATTTATTTTTTACTTATTATTATGGACGAAATGCCACATGTCTTTTTCTTATTTGTTACTATGTCACATCATTCGCAAGTGTATGACACACTCTCTATTTTTAGTTGATTGTCTCACAGTGTTCAATATGTATAATTTTTTTAACTAACAAAGGTGTTCAATTGAAACAAGCGCAAGATAAAGTGTCTAAGTGAATTATGCAGACAACTTTAAAAGGACACGTATAACTTAAGCCTAAATTTTAACTAAAAGATATTCCTCTGTCACAAAGAATGATTTGAACCGGAATAGTATGAACATATGTGCTACCATATTTGTTGTTTTTTACCCAACTCTAAAGAACAGGCTAAATAATTAACAGTATATTGGTAGTAGGATATATATACATTTCAAGCCCTGTTTTGGAGAATTACTTTGGACATATAATATAATATGTCCCGTCTAATTAAAAAATAAATGACTTGTAATGTGAAATTTCAAGTCAATACTATTAAAATAAATGAAATTGAAAATATAACATAAGTCCTAAATTCAAAACAAAAAATTTAATATAATATTCTTATGTCAAATATCAATATAACATACATAAATATGATTTCAAAGAAAAGAAAAATATAAGTCTATAACCTTATTAAACAATGACTTCTATCTTAATTGAAAAATTAGAATACTAACAAAAATATTTTAATGAAAAATATAAACATAGAATTACAACAATAGATAATACGAAAAAATGGCATGAAATCACATAAAGTAAAGGTTGAGAATGCGAAAGAAATTAAATGTAAATAATATAAAAAAAAATATTTAAAAAAATATTAGAATAATAAAAAAGAATTTAAAATAAATAAATAAATAAATAAATAAAATAGTAGTAATAGAAAAAAGAAATGAAAAACTAAACAATTTATAATTACACCACATAATTATCAGTAATTCACAATTTTCATGAGAATTAGAAAATATAACTACCCCTATCAATTACAATTAATTACCTGCTAATTAAATAATTACATAACCAATTAAATGTGTTATATATTATAATTAGGTTCAATTACACTAAAACAAATTATCATAGTAACTTTCCAAATAGACATTTAATATTTTCTTCACTAGAAAGAAAGGAGTATTAAAGTTGAAAAGTTAAATACTACTATGTGGGTCTAAGAAAAGACAAAACAATACACAACATAAGCCAGCCTGGTAATCAATCCGTACACGTCGTAGCGTCAACAATACCGAGTTGACTTAACTTTGCTCTATCCATTTTATTGACTCACAGCTACCCTCTCTGTTTTAATATTGTTTAAAATAATATATTTATTATTAATTTTTCATATGAAGTGAACATCAAATGACAAATTAAAATGAAAGAAAGTATCATTATTTTCATTGGTGTTAAATGATTGAATTGTGCTGAATTTATAAGTGTTAAAAAGGTCTTTGAATAGATTAGATGCATCATATTTCTATGAGTAAACTTTATCACTCTTACATATCTCTTCTGTTACTTGAAAATACATAAATTCATTCCTAACTAATTCTTGCATTATTAACATTTGAGTAACTCTATCTAGCTTTTAAAATAGTGCATGTGATATTCTATGCCTTGTAAAAATTTCAAGTAATTCAAGTCATCCAAATCCTAAATACTAGTGAAATTGATAAATTAGTATAATAAAGTAAGCTGAATTGCAGAGGATAAGCTTGTTACTTCTCCAGGTGTGAACATTGTTTGTCAATACATCAAATTATATACATACTCCCAATATTTAACTTTTCCTTTATTAATTAAAAATGTATATATATTCGTTGAAGTTGGTAGGCATGCTGCCATCAGGTGATTTCTCCCTCAGGTTTCTGAGGCCCCACATGTAATATTGTGTGCCTAAGTATTTATGATACAATCTTGATTGAAAAACAAATTCCAATTTAATTTGTAACTATCAAAACTAAATGGGCATGCGTCCTACTAAAATAGGAAATGATCAGAAGCTATGAGCAATATAGCCATTAGCAGAATCAGATGATTCTCTATTAAAGTAATGTTGAATTTCATTGTCTGAATTCATCAATTGATCCCAGAACTCTTCTTCTTCTGTGTTCATTCCCTGTTGTAACTGCGAGGGCGGTGATTGTTGTTGTTGCACTTGCAGGGGTGTATTGTTGTGTTGTTGAATTGATGTGTAATCTGAAAATGAGAAATTAAGCTTAGCTCTTGGACCTCTAAATTCAATAGCTGCTCTGTCATAAGCTCTAGCTGCATCTCTGCTGTAGTAAATGTTCCAAGCCATACTCTGGCTGCCCTTCTCGGGTCTCTAATTTCCGCAGCCCATTTTCCCCATGGTCTTTGTCTCACTCCTCTGTAATTCTTCTTTTTCTTCTTCGCAACAATCTTTAAAGCCTTGTTGTTGTTGCCAGTTGATGAGGTTGCAAAAATAGTTGCAGCCTAAACAACCATTTATTTTGCAGAATTGACAAGCCTCTGTTTCTTCCGGTAAGTGAAACAAGGGCGGCTCAATAGAATAAGACATACTCGTACAAGGTAATGAAATTGTGGCACTGACGGAAGTATGAGTAGTACCTGTAATCACATTCGTTAAAGCAGCAACGATGATTGAAAACTCTTGTTCATCACTAAATTTTGGTTGTTTGTTCATTGAAGCTGTTTGTTCTTGATTATGTCTCTTGGTTGACCTCTGCATCGTTGAAATTTGAAAGAAAAAAGCAGAGAAAACTTTGGTCTTTGTTGTTCAGATGAGTTATTTGCTTTTTATATACGAAAACACTACACTTATTTTACACGGGTTTGATTTTAGCTTAGCTGGCATATTCAAATTAAATCAACTAATTTTGTGTGCACGTGGGATTTGGATGATGTGGCATGAAAAGTTGATGACATGGCAGGAAAGAGAGTGTTCACACGGTGATTGTTCCTATTGCCTTTTTGACGGTTATGAAAGGAATGACGTAACTGGGGGACAAGTTGGCAGTCAAATAGGTAGGTCATCCTGTCGCTTGGAAGACAAGAGGACCAAAACTATATGCACGAGAGTGTTCGTGGGTCCATTTTGATCAGTTATTGTTCATATTCAAAATCAAATTAAGTCAATTGATTTTGAAATTATTAAAATTAAGTCATATGAAAATATATATTTATCAGTTTGTTGTTATTGATTTCGGTTTAATTTGGTTATTCGTTATTAATCATAGATAAATATAAAAGAAATGATTCATTCAGAAGAAAAAAATACAATAATTCATTAAAAAAAATAGCTAGAACAATTGGAGTTTCAGAACTCTCGATCATTGAATTTACTCTGAATAAAGATTTAAAATTTGTGTCTAAGTAAGCTCATGTTGATCGTCTGTGTATTTGGTGCAAGCTTTTCAATAAGAAATTAACTATTTCTTTCGTTATTATTTATTTGTTTATTTGATTTGAATTTTGTGATCTTGAACATATTAAGTAGAAATTGAAATTAAAAAGTTTACAACAAAGAAAACAAATATTCTTTTTTTAAAAAACTAAAAAGGAAAATGAAACAAATAAATTGAAAGAAAAAGAGTATTTTTTTTCCCAATTAATGTTGTATTCATTCATACGATTCACCGTACTATTATTATAGAACTATTTTTATTCATATTTACTTGTTCATATTTGACTAAATACATCTTTCACGAAGCAATAAATAAAAGTGTTCTTTTATTAATCAACACTATTCGTTATCAAGACCGTCTCAACAAGTTTGGGGGCCTAAAACCAAACTTCATAGCAATGCTTTTTTTTCTTCTTCTAGTTATCGTATATAAATTGAATAACTATAACATATTCAATGTAATCCTATAAGCAAAGTCTCGAGAAGGTAGGATATATGCAAACCTTATGAAGTAAGAACGTAAACAATGGAATTTTTTAATGAAAAAAAATAATAATATAAAGTTAGAATAATAAAACCTTCGTTTGTAACACATTTTAAAGTGACAGAAAAAAAATTACAATCACAAAAAAAAAAGAAGAAACATGAAATTTTTATTGATAAATCAATAGTGCGTACTTGTTTCTCCCTTGATTCTTCTCTCATAAGATTTATCCATGATTTCATGATTCGAGAGTCGTTAGTGGCGTATCTCTCGAAGTAGGATGATTTGAATTTGATCTCCTTATGAATATTCCATGAATTTGCGAAATATTCGAGATGTCTTTTAAGAGAATATAATATCATTTATATAGGCATGAACTAGGGTTTAAGGGTTGAGTAGACTCCAAGAATTCTAATTGGAATTGAACACACATTGTAAAGTCCCCACTCGAATTGAACACGTCTTAGAGTCCCACAAAATTTCAATGTCTACAAACATGATTCAACAATTTTAAAAACTTATGTAATAGT